GGCACGTGCGGATAAAATTTTTAGGAATTAAACATTGATTAACCTCAAAATGGTAATTGCCTTTTACCGGGAAATATTTTTTTGTATCAGTTTCGTAGAAAATTGCTCAACTTGTAGGAAATATTGTTTTGCGATCGTTCCATCATTTTATAAATATTGCTATTTTTGCCTCCCTTTTCTGGCAAATTTCAAACTGCCTGACCGAACAACACATTTTTGCTGTATTTGCTATCTAAAAACCGTTCGAACATAACGCGGTGCTACACGGCTGGCTCTAAAGTGGACGATAAGTTCCGGTCTATTAAACTGCAGCAGAGCTTCGAAATAGTTTTTAATTTGTATCCGTATATACTTCAGTCAGAAAAGTAAGACATTTCGAAATTCTTCCTAGGCGATAGTCCAGAATCGCTCATTCCACCACCGCCACAACAAATTCCCGTGCTCCGGATACAACTAAAAAAGATCCGAGAACACATCTGACCGATGAAAATGAAAATGAAAATTCAACGTTTGGTTGGTTGGTTGAAAACTAATCAGAAATCTCTGTATGACTTTTATGTGAAACTTATCTCTTACAGTTGTGAGAACAAACCTTTAATTCGTAACATTTTATTTGGCGAAGCTCCTGTTCACATGACTCAATTTTTATTAGTTCGTTGATATTTTTATTGGAACTTTTAAACACGCACGTAATTTAAATAAGCAAAATAAGGTACCAAGTTTATTATACAAGAAGTTAGATAAACGCTGATTAGATGACCGTCGATTTGGTACGAGCGAAGCGTGTGCTTAACAATTGATGACTGAAGAAGTTTATCGCTTTTTCAATGAGCATTATTTTTTTGATTACTTTTTTGAAAGAGAACATGTGTGATAAGCGCAATTGTAGTCAATCGTTTCATTTGGAGTGGAACTGACCGTCAGAATTGACAAAGGTAGATAGAATAGTGCACTAGATCCGTGCATGATTGGTTATCTCAGAGTAGGGAATGGAAACAATAAAATTGTAACAACAAACGAAGATAAACATGATTTATAAATAACAGCGGAATATTATTTGGTGTCAAAAAACCTTTGGAAAAAAGGACGTTAGTCGAAGTGTAAAATTTTTTGGAAAATCTGGAAATAGAATCCTACTCAATTCCAATAAAAAAATCTTGGCGCTTACTCTTATATTGTACACATATAATCATAAAGACGGTAAAAATGCGTGCCAGACGGATATTTTTGTAGAGAAGGATATGAACAATCTTCCACATACAATCTTAAATTTCTCAGACTAACCTGCACTTTGCGCCATTTTCTTTCTAAACAGCGATCTCCTCCACACGCTTAACTGGTTTTTCTCTGAATATTTAGCGGGATCTAGACATATTTTGAGAAAATACTGTCAGATCCCAGCTGAGAACTGTCAAGCTCGCCTTCAGGTGTGTGTGGTATCGATAACATGAATAGTAACACCAGACATGAAATTAAAAACTGGTACCGACTATTTCTGTTTACAAAAATAACAGCATTTGTTTATTATTCTTATTATTTTTTTTTATATTATTATTTAAATAAGTTTTTTCTTTAACCGGTTATTAATTTTGTACGAGGTTCCGTTTCCCCAACAAAAACCGCCGTTTTTAGATCACTGTACTAGATAAAGAAAATCTAGACTGTCTGGTTCAAACCAATTATTTTTGACATGGCACGCGTATTAAAAAGCGGCAGCCTGTTTTTATTATTCATTTCGCGAGAATGCTGGCCTGTAATAAAAAGTACCCACTAATCCAATTTTTAATCCGATGAATCTAGAAATTTTACATATTGGGTATAATTTTATATTTTACATACTGATTGTTTTCACGCGACAGAAACAAACTTTTACCCACAAATAAACTTAAAGTTGTTATTATCTGCCGCACTTAAAAAAATTGTCGCATTCGATTTTTGTTTCGAAACTATTCCAGCTTTAGTCATTATTTCCCTTCTCGGGCTTAGACGAAGAATACCGGTTTCGATCAGACGGAAACCAGTCAAGAGGTAAGAGGAAACCTCTCTACGCTATTTTAATAGTAGTTACATATGTTAATGAATCATATTATAGGCTTTCGAAGATAAATTTAGATTTATCGCCGGTTTGATCTCAGTTACCTCAAAACATGCATATTAACTCTTATTAAGAGTGGGGACATCGACCCAGAATGCTGCCAGAATATTGCAATTTTTGTTACGTACGGGTATTTATTAATTCGATTGATTATGTAATTTCTTGTTTAATTTCTCGTGATTGATCGCATATATTTCGGATAGTATCATATCCATAAGTACGAATTTTCGAGAACTTTTTCCGTGAAAACCATTAATTTGCTCGTATACAGGATGTTCAAATGTAGGAGTTTGTCGAATAGATAACAGAAAAGACCAACTATAATACAATAGAAGAACTTGCAGGAATTTTTAGTCACATAAAATTAAAAGCGTACATATTGCTTCATTATGAAATCCTGCCTCTCGATTCGATCCCATCCTTTTAAACAACAAAAATAATATAATCATAAAAAAAATAACTTATAATCATTTTACTTGTTTACTCTCTTTTTAATATAATAATAATACTCTCTTTATAATATTCCTACATATTTAAGAGTGACCAAGTGGTAGAAACGATATATTAATCTAATAATTAATACCGCTAATTAACAAAAATACGAAAAAATATAACTGTTTAAAAAATTGAACTTATTAATTATAAGCGTTACTTTCCCGTTCTTAAAGTGACCGTTAATTTGGCTTTTTTTTTAATCACACCACAACATCTAAAAAACACATTAGTTATGAAACAATTTAAGAAAGTTATCAGAGAAATTTGTTTAAGTTCAGAAATACTTTCCAGAAAAGCTCTCAGCAACGTTGCATTGCGCATGGAACATAAACTGTGGGCTATCAACAAAATACGATACCCCTCGTATGGATATAATGGATAAAATTCACTATACACTTTGTTAGGAGGGCACAATTAAGGACTTTTACTAAAGGATGCCTTCGGCCAGTTCATTACAATTTTTGTTTTTGCAATTCCCTTATAGTTAATTCAAATAATCCGAGAACTAATCAAGTGGGAAGGGTAGTTATTTTTTTCCCTTAATAGTTTGGGAGTAAGTACAATTTTCAATCTAAAATTTTTGAAACGAAACTCATTCTGGTTGTTTCAAGCAACATGCGCTAATATTCGGCTGGAGATTTGTCTTTCAAATAGATGAAGAGAAAACGTAATATTATTATCAAAAAATATACGCATTGTTTTCTCAATTTTTGTTATTTGTAATTTTTAATCTTTTTGATCGTTTTCGAACCATAAGATGATCATAAAAAAATATTTTTTTGAGCCTTTGTCACAACCAACCTCGTTCTACATAATTAATACGTAAGAGAATGTATCTAAAAATATTTGAAAAAAGATTGATTTGATCATCTCGAAAAACTCGAGATGTAAATGCAGTCAGCAGCTTTTACGAAACTTTTTATAATTGTATTCGAAATGATCGTTTCATTGATAATTTCAATACACAGACGCCAAAATTTACCTGTGACTTAATTACGTTGATGGTCACTATCGTATCTTTTAGTTGCTAAAAGTGACTCATACTTTGGAACATTTGCGAACGTATTGTATGCAAATGTTCACATTTGCCTGTTAAAGGTTTGGTTACCCGTTTCATTTCTTTCCGTTGCTGACGTACCCGCAATATTCTAACGGCCGGAATATCCAAGTTAGATTTAGCTTTGGATTATTCTGTACAGTCGTCTGATCCGCTTTCCGCCGCAATCAATCGGTCTATTATGCACAATTGTTATATTAAATGACTCATTCTGTACTCATATACTAGTAGTAATGCGCGGATTTGTTCTACTACTACACATTGAGAACTGTTTTAATTAGACGCATCGGTTGTAATGCCTATATATTCCACATGAAACCTATACATTTTGCATTGAATGTTTTAATGCATGCATAGTTCGGGTGTTACATTAACACATGAGAGCGCGCAATCAGCTGGACATCGAAGGCCAAAAAAGAATCTCTTTGATCAGAAAAATATTCGCGCTCATTGGCATTCGCATAATACAGTCTTTATGATATAACTTTTTGTGTAATAAAGTTCAACATAGTAGGCTCAGTCAAGTATGTGGGTGGGATAAATTTCTCGCCGTATGGAATGAATACCTCGATTGGTTATTCAACGTGGGTCCGCCATTTCGCAAAAAGAATAAAGCACCGAGTTAAATCTTTGCAAAATGTTTGCCAAGGTCGTTGATATCGATACCTACGAAACAATTAAATTTATGCAGGATGTGTCTAGAGTTGATGGAAAAGATAAGGGAGGTAAAAGTAAAGAGAAAAGTAGTATGGAGTTCTCGTTACTAGAATATTTCACTGTATTCTTACGGAAGTTCAAGCGTTCCCAGTTTATATTTATCATTATCACAGTTTCACCTCTAGTAGGCGCCTGTGACAGTTTTATTAGAGTGATCGTCCAGTTTCATTTATTTTCGATTTCTCTATACTGATAACAAGATAGACGTTTATCATGAATGAATTTAAGAAGGTCTCGTGCAATAGTTTTATGTAGACAAGATTAATGTGTAATACGCAGGGGCGCCCAAAATGCGCGATTAAGGTGGAAACAAAAATAATGAGTTTCATTTTTTCAAATTAAATACTGTATATTTTAACAATTATTCTGGAGCGCAATTAAAAAAGTTTCTGTAAAAAGGGAGTGTTGATGCTACTTTTTCGAAGAAACAACGTCCTACGTCTTATTATTATATTATACGCGATTGGTACAAAGATGCAAACAGAAACAGAAAGGCTTGGCGAACTAATATCGGTATGGGTGGTTCTAAACGCACGCTCATTGCAAATCGGTTGCACTTGATTTTAAAAGTTTAAGCGACATTGAGATTCACCCTGTATAGAGCAAGTCATTATCTGATTTTTTCTTCCGTTTTAGCTTAATACAAGTTCCGGGTTAGCGAACTGTATCCGTCATTTTAATGAGTGTCTTAAAGAATGGTTAATACTTCAGGCGGCGTTGTCTGGTGCTACAAAGACAACCGATGGACACCGTTACAACTTTCATCGATAAGGTTACATGGCGTTTGGACTCAAGCCCATTGGGCGGCCATATCGGAGTTTCTCGAAAGGGTGGCGAACAAAGAATTAATTCTTCAAGACAACGGCTTCACCGAACTTACAGAAAAACATAAGGAACTCTTGTTTAAAAATCAACAATTAGATGAAAGTAAGTTAGATGTTCACAGTGAAGAGAATGTGATAAATGTTGCGAATAATGTTATGTGTGAGAGAAAAACGAGTTTGGGTCAGATACCGGAGGATAAAATCGCAGATCATCCGCGAAGGCCTTCCATGCCTGAACTCCGCGCTGTAGATAGAGATAATTTATTTATTGAGAATAATTTATTGAAGTCGGAGACTGATTGCTTTAAAAAGACTGATAGAATATCTAAGGAAAATGATGAAATTGTTCTGAGGCTTCTGAAGAAATACTGCAAATACAGTAAAGACGCTTTAGATAATGATATAGTAAGTGCCATCGAGAAGATTGCAGACGAGCAAGTTGTAAAGGCAGAGCAAAAACCACCCCGTACTAGAAAGACGGGTTATGTTCCTAAAGAAGAGAAGATTTACGAAAATTTGCACGAGATTATCTTAGATTCACTGGAAAGCGATCGAAACGATCACATTATTCGTTGGTTGAAGCAGCAGAACAACCAGGTAAATTTTGTTGACACACCTGTGCCTCCGAGGAGGCATTCGTCTGTGGAACTTCCCTTGCCGTCGCCTACAGAGAGCAACAAAAGCAGTTTGATAGAGAGAAAGTCGTCTTCGGGATTTGAGAGTCAAAAGTCCAGCGTCACAACACCATCAACACCCGAGAGTAGAAAATCATCGTGGGGCAATAGTACAAGAAATAGCAGAAAAAGTAGCATTGGTTCGAATAGTTCGTGTTCGGAGTGTGACGACTCGGACAGTCAAAATCAATGGCAGAAGTTTGTGAAGAAACATCTAAATTCGAAAAATTCGGAGCGGCGTTTACGAAAACAATGGGAGGCGTGGTCCCGGAACAGGAGAAAACTTAGTCTGCAAACTGACATCCTGTGTGCTGACCTAACATATCAGCCGTGAGTCATTCTTTTCTTTTTTCTTTTTATTACCCTCACAATTGACGTCGTTCGTTTTAGTTCCTTTTGTTCGCTCGTAGGGTATGTTTCGAGAAAAGAGCGTGGAAAATTGAACACATTTTTAAAGTATATTACAATTTTAAAGAACAACTACTTTACACAGCATTCCGAATATTACCTATTCAAAAAACATTTGTGGCCCTAGACTGTGTGACATAGAAGTTGCACGCAGCATTGCCTGCATAATATTTTTGCCCCGGTCTGTTTACAAATAAAGGAATAATAGATTTTATTATTACAGTGCAACCTTGGAAATCCAAACCCCCACTAATCCGAACGCAAATGTCGTGATACGGCTCGTCTGCATCGCTTACGCTATATTATTTTATTTCGTAACACAGGGCATAAGTGCATAGTTTATTGGAATCTTGGGTGTTGTGTAGTGCTAAAACTGAGTTTACAGTATTAGCTAATTTATTAAAGAATGCACGTAACACTGGGTTTAGGTGGCTTGTGGGTGGAAATAATCTCACTGAGGTTAGTGATAAAGGCAATGATATTTTTACAAGGACTTATGTCTGGTTTCTAGGAAATAAATTGATATTAAACAAAGAGAAAACCAATTTAATTATGTTTAGAACTAAATATGTTGAGTTGAAATACCATTAGGAATAGGGATAGGTAAAGAAAATATTAATATTGTAAGTAGCACTAAATTCTTAGGTTAACAAATTGACGAATTTATTGATTGGTCTGAACATATTGATTATCTGTCAAATAAATTAAATTCAATTTGTTATGGAATTAGAGTCGTTGCAAATTATATGAATAAGGAAACCTAAAAAATTATGTACTTTGCAAACTTTCAGTCGCGCATGAGTTATGGAATTAGCTTTGGGGGAGGGGGGTAGTGGTCAACTACAGAAAATTTTCGTGGTTCAAAAGAGGACTCTTCGCACTGTTAAAAAAATGCAATTTAAAGAGAGCTGTAGAGGGGTGTTCAAGGCTGAAGGTATTTTTACTGTATATGCTTTATATATTTATGAAGCATTGATATTCTTTTTCTTCGAACTACAGATATTTCATAGATGTAATACCAGAACCCTAAATATAAATTACCCTATTCATCGTTTAACCTTAACTGGAAGGAGTCCTTATTACATGTGCCTAAGATTGTATAAAAAATTACCAAATGAGGTAAAAGCAATTGCAAATCTAAAAATCTTTAAATACACAATAAAAAAGTTGTTGATAAAGTTAGAACCTTACCTTAGAAGATTTTTTCTGTAATATTTAAATAATTTTTTTACGTAGATTTCCTTTGTGTTTGGTATATTATTTTTAGGTAATGTATTTATGACACAATGTGAAATAAAGTTGATTATTATTATTATTATTATTATTATTATTAAAACAAAAAGTTCAAGTTATAAAAGATGTTGATACCGTTATACCGAAAAGCTACAGTAACTGGTATGAAGAAAACAAAGACAAAATAATGGTATTTCTCCACGAAAATAATGTCAGTCCTTATTTACGTGATTCTGTCGGGAAAGAACAAAAGGTAAGTTTTATTCTGGTTAATTGTTATAAAATGTCAGATTTTTCTCTTTTTAAATAATTTTATTTAACTTCATAGAGCCCGGCAGTATATCAAATCTTGCGATTCATTTTTGACACAATTCCCGTTTTTTTTTACAGGTACACAAATTTCTGGGGAACTTCTACGTGAGAAGGCTAAGTTCTTCTACAGAGCAATAACAAAAAAAGACGATAAATTCAACAGATTTGGTATCCGCCAGTTAACAGTTTGTGGGGAATCACAAACGACTACAATGCGGTCTTGCCATTTGTGGAAAAGTTTGCTGGTATAATCAAGGAAAAAACTCCGTCAAGTATATAATGCTTATGAACGTGGGCTTTTATGAAGAGTTCTTCCAAACAAAACCTTAGCACATACAGCATAAATATTTGCCCCGGGGTGAAAAGTTAGCAAATAATGAATCACTTTATGCCTTGTTACAATGCCTCTGGGTCACATAGATTCCAATTGTTGGTCCTAGGTAAAAGTATGAAACCCCGTGCTTTTAGAAATGTTAATATTCCTGTTTCGTACGCAGAGCTTGGGTAAAGAGAGAAATTTTCTTTGAGTGGTTTCACAGTGAGTTTGTTCCATCAGTAAGACGTAAAATGAAAGAACTTAATCTTAGTTCGAGGGCAATTCTAGCCTTGGATAATACACCTCGACGCCCTATTTAATTGTATAGCGATAATAACCAACTTTTTGTGCTTTTCCTTCCCCCAAATTGATACAGCCAATGGACCGACATGTTATACATACAGGCTATGAGACTATTTTGTCGTAAGAAATTGCTCCAAGAAATTGTTGCTGCTGATTCTAATATTCCGCCAGCATTGAATATTATTGATATAATACTGAAGGACGTTGAACGAGGCTTGGCAAGATGTGGGTACTGGCTTAATTAAAAAATCTTGGAGTCAAATTCTACTTCCAAATGTTGATGATAGTGATGAAAAAGACGGCCTTCCGTTGGCGCGCTTAGTAAGACAAATTTGAGATTCAGAATCCAAGGAGATTCAAAATGATCTGGAAGAGATTAGGGAGTCAGGTAAAAAACTTGACCAAAGCTTAACGAATGAAGAGATCGAAACATGGGTATCGAATGATAAAGCAATCAGCGACGCTAGTATAATTGGAGAAGTTGTCAAAGATTCTGACTCTGATGAGAACTCCGACGGATATTTCCGAAACTCCGCGTTTCGTGAAAGATGCTGCTGCAGTGTCAGGGCTTAATATTGTATTCCTTGGGCAATACAAAATAAGGTTCCCGAAATGGTGTTCTTGCAGGAATTAAGAAATCAAGCTCGAGGTGCAGCGTTTAAAAATAAGAACAAATCAAAAATTACAATTTTTTTACTGTATCAGAAAACAGTTAATGTTTTATTTTTTAGTTTGTTTTTGTTCTTATAACATTAGTTACATGTTGTGTTAGTTAATAAGGTACATTACATATGTATTGTGTAAAATTTAATATAAATGCATAATAAACATGTAAAAACGTACGCAGATGTTTTTTATTGTATATTCGTTAATGCGTACAATTTAATAATCTGAACTAGGCCTGACAATTAGCTGTTCGGACTAAAGAGGTTGCACTGTATTATGTTTCAAAATTTTAATACAGGCTTTATTGCCTTTGGAGTATCATAATGCTTACTGTAAGAACACGTGCTGACGCCGCTGTTGATATTGTTTTGATAGTAGACGTTTCTGTAACAATTGGTGTAAGCCTAAATTTCATTGTGTCTGGCAGGGAATTGTAGCTTTTACCAATTCCGTAAGTAAAACAATAATTAATTATCGATTAATTAAAAAAAATAAATATTTGATTAAATTATTATTAACATTTCTACAAATAAAAACTACCTCCCAGTTAAATTACAAAATGGTTTTTTGGGTTGGTGGAACGAAAACAAGACGTAAATATGTGTATTACAGATCATAAATCTTAATAAAACTGACAATAGAAAGTGACTCTCTTGGGCAATACTCGCTGACAAAAGACATATGCGAATGTTACGTTATATTAGCAGTGAATAAAATTGGCGTCCCGCACTTCCCCGTGGCTCAAGCTTGTCAAATTACACAGCTGTGAGTGATGCGTTGTAGTCTAAATAAATCAATAAATACTTCGCTCGATTGTATCTTTAATTCCCATCAGATAATCCTGTCATAATGTCGGTGAAAATTATACTAATAATTCATCTATCTATCTTATATCGACCATGCATATTAAATTTAATTAATTTGCATAGAAACTGTATCATATGCCTGTGCCTTTCTTTCTTTTTGTCTCTGGTATGCAGCCGCTATTTTACACTGTTATTTATACTGTCATACTAACAAAGTCTTTGTTAATGTTAATTTTGCGGAATGCTCTGTTTTTGTTGAAAAAATATTATATTTCAGACATTCCTCTGCTAAATTTGTGCAAACATATATACTCGCTTCTTACGAGTTTGTCGGCCATAAAATTTGATATATAATAATAACAGTAGGTGGTCCTATTTTGGATTCTCAAGCCCTTCGTCGTACTTGAAATTGCAACCGAATATTCTCAGTGACAGTCAAAATACTTCCCTACTAAAAACAAAAATGTCAATACCTTGAACACTAGAACTGATAGGCGCAGAACTTCTTGTGACAATTGGGAACATTTTATATTGGAACAAAACTTATTTCAAATTATTGACGAAATTTATAGAGCATTCCACAGCACTGAGTAAAAAAGATGTCGTCATATACCTTGATAAACAGTAATCATTTAAAATCGGAGAGAAAAACTATAAAAATTTGAAATAATATTATTGAAAAATGTGTCAAAGCATGAAATTTACAAAAAAAATTGTCGATATTGATGGGTAAGGAGAGAAAACGTATTTTTATTGCGTTTTTTTTTTATTGCTTATGCTTATAGTTGGAATTTTCGAAGACACTCGTATTATTTTTTATTCCACCAACTTTCATTATAACCGTTTCAATAACTGCATAAAATAAAGTTTTAATCGGTTAAAAATATTTGTACATTAAAACAGCCAAATTTCACTTTAAAATTACGAAACGGACCGGCTTCGCGATCGTTTCCTTATTGCGTATTTTCGTATCTGTAGATGTACCGGTACGCCCGTAAATATCTCGCGAACGATCGCTCACCGCTCACCGACCGATTACATACGACATATTGTGAGAACAAGAATGAGGAAAACGTGCCGGATAATGATGGCTGGTCGACCCGGTAACGATGGCGCCACATTCAATGACTGGCCAGATTACAGCCAATCTCCGGTTTTTGTTGTTGACAAGAAAATCAAGTTGCGTCCTTTCCGAGAACGACCGATGCTCGTTTCTAGATTAATAACGTCGCTGCGCCCATCGCTTGATTTATTAACGGTCAACGGCTCGCGAAATTTTACATTCA